AAAGTCTCGAAATGTTTAAAGCAATTACTTATGAGCAATCTACATGCATGCTAACAATCTTTAACGATCACCGTATCGATGGTTTCTACAAGTTTTGTGTCCCAAAGAAAAGAAAGGAGGGAAGAAAGAAAGAAGTGACAAACGTACGCGCGGTGAAAAAGATGCCATAATCTTCAGAACGAAGATACATAAATTTTTTATATAAACTTTTAAAAGCAATTAAACAAGTCGTTGCTCACGGAAGAATTTTATCTAACGTCGAACTACATTATGTGGATATAATTAATTTAAAACACGAGCGTTTGTTTTTTATTATACGCGGATGAAACTCATTACGAGAGGAAGAATCATCATCCGCAAGTTGATAAAACGAATATTTGTATAAAAGACCTGTGTGGAAAAATGGAAATTTAAAAAATATTTAAATAGAAAATGATGCATATAGCATCCAATATTCTATCGTGACAAACACAATTTCATTACAAGGGAACATTACGTTTGCTGGATAATTAATAACGTATAATCTTACATTGGAAAAGCAACTTGGGACATATCTAGTAATAATTGCGAGACTGCATCGCAATTATCAATCATGGAATGGTATCATATTTTCAATCAACAATTTATCCAACCAAAAGAGAAGGATTCTGTCGATCGACGACCAATGTTCCGCCTTCTGATAACTGTTCATTATTAACTCAACATTATCTATTATCGGGCAGCGTTTTCCTGCAAGGATATTCCTGTTTCTTCAGCTGGCATTATCCTCCGGATGGCGAATATCCTGCGAGGATCTTCCTGACCACCCCACGATCGCATGCCGATTCAGCTCGACGAATTCTCGCCCCATTAAATGGGAAGCGCCCCGGCAATCGATAATAACGTCTGAATAGCGCTGACAACTACAAGATCGGGGTGGTCATGTACCAGCATAGCGCGTCTGCTGATAAGGAAGCGTCGCGCCGGGGATGAGACACGGATAGTTGCGACGCGACGACCGTAGGGGGTAGCACGTCCCGATCTACCCTCGTGCACTCTTCTCTTTACCCTTCCCATCGACGTCGTCGGGAGAGCGTGTATAACACTTATCGAATGACTCTCTCCGCACAGCGTCTGCGCCTGCTGCCTCGACGCCGCCGCCGTTGCCGCCGCCGCCGTCGCCGCCGCCGCCAGTTATGTATTGATCATTACCCTCTTAAACAGATTTCTAATTTACATTAGTACCCGGACGATCGCCCTCCCCGCACCCGCGTGGTGGCACACAAAGGCGCGTGGTCGCGCACGATACTAGCCGCTCTGCTCTCTACATATATACGTCGCGCGCAAGTGCGAGGCGTCATGGAAGACCAGCTGACGCGGCGTCCTGGTCCATCAACGGCGCATCCACGAGGCTGCTAGTAGCGTCGTTCACTTTTCGATTCGCGCAACACGCATTTGACGTGCGTTTATCTCGTCTTGGAGGTAGGGGGAGGCAATCGTTGTATGCCGCATCAGTGACACAAAGCCTCCCACGATCCCTTCGCGATAAATATGCTCTCAATGTTGGTGAATAAACCGCGGATGTTGTGTTTCGCGGAGATGGATTAGACGCTTTGAGAATATTTTTCTTTCCATTTTATTCAGTCTCGATCGAGTCAGCGCGAGTGCGGGCATCAAAGGTCACACCGTTGTTGACCAAACAAAGCGTGCCAAGCTTCTTCGGGAGGGGAACGCTAATATCTGAAGGAGGGATAAAGTTTCTTCGGCGGTCGAAGACTCTGACCCTAAGAAGCTTATCCGTCCTGCCAGCTCGCCGCATCGCTGGCGAGTGGCAGCAAGACAGCCAGGGTTGACCGGTGGTCGACGGCAGCGCCGCGACAACCCGCTAAAAAAAAAAAAAAAAAATTGAAAAAAGAAAGAATCGCAGCGGCACGTAGGAGAGAAAGACCACGGAGAATGCGATATTCATCCCCCCACACGCTCTCGGAATTGTAGAGCCGGCGGAGGGTTGTGTCTCCGATCGAGAGCCATGAATCGCGATGATGCCATCCTCGCGCAATCCCGCACCACCGCCGTCCCCCTTCCTCCTCGCGCAACCTCCCCCGGCCGCCCCCAGACTCGCCGATAATCAATCGTCGTAACACCGGTCGGTGGTGATTCCGCTGACGCCAGGAACGAGCGCGGCGTTTGAGACGCGACGGAGAGACGAAAAGAGAGAGAGAAAGAGACAGACGGAGAGGAAACCGACGCGCGAGGATACGCGAAAGACACCCGCAGAGAAACGCTAGGAGAGAAAAGCGAGGTGCCAACGCGTTGATCGGGAGAGTTTTCGTGCGTGCGTGCAAGCGTCAAACGGGGGTATCGTGACGAGAGGGTGCGTTTTCACGATACGAGCGCGCTATAGTCGTCGGCGTCGGACGAGAGATAGACGGGGGAGGGGGGGGTGTTTGCTGGGTATACAGGGGGATTTGGCGGCGGCGGAGGGGAGACGCGGGAGCGAAGAGAGAAACAGAGAGAGGCAGAGAGGGTGGCGTATAGAGAGAGGCGGAAGGGAAAAAGAGACAGAGAGATATGACGAATGGGTGACCGTGGGATGCCGCCCCTGGAGACATTTCACCGCACGAATCGCCGGGCGACGAAGTCGCATCAACGACTGGCGCTGCTAAAGCGAGACGAGAGCGGGCGGGAGCGGGCGGGTGTGTTAACGTAAAACGACAACGACGGTGCGACGAGCTATGATGGTACCGTTAGGAGGCACGTCAAACGACGTGCGGATAACAACGTGCGGCAGACCCGATTAAGGCTACGTACGTTACAATACGGGATCTTCCGGATGCGCGTAGTGACCGCCAGCAGCAGCGTCTGATGGACCGCCACGGATGGCGTGTAAGTGTCGCCGTGTGCGCCACCGCCGCGTACGTGCTGTTTACAACTCTGTGACCGGTTTATGGAGACCCGCTTCACGCGCTCGCTATAGCGCGACGCGAACACGAGGATGTGAATGAGAGGAGAGTGTAAACTGTCGAGTGCTCGACGGATGGACCAGAACGAGATTACCTACCCGGAAGCGTAATGTATTAACATTGGCTTCTCCTGTGTTAACATTGGACAGAATAACACGAATGAGATGAGGTCAAGGCTCTCTACTAGTGCCGAGTAAATATCTCGGATAATTTGTTTCGTTTGCTACTATGATAATATCTCGTATATAGTATAGCACGCGACAGAACGAGATCGTTTAGGATCGTTCCATGGATCGATTTGGATCATCTCGGCGGTGTGCCCGCGAGTAAACACGAGGCAGCCCCGTATGTGGCGATGGAGTCAGCCGAGTGCCCGGAGCCGCTGAATTTGGTGATCAAAAAGGACGACACTGACGACAGCGGGCCGGTGATCGGGGAGAGGATCGCGGAGGCGTCGATCGACGAGGAGAAGGACGCCGTTCTCGCGGCCGAGGAGAGCGCGATCGAGGATAACATGGCGATACTCCAGGACGCCGTCAAGTCCGCCGATTCCGGTGGCTTACCAACCGCGGATCACAAGCTCCTGACCGCGCTCTACATGAGCAGCCTCATGCAGATGTCGAGCCTGAGCCCGCCGCGCAGCATCGCGCCGCCGCCGTACGGCGCCAGCCAGCAGCAGCAACAGCAGAGCTTCGTTCATCTGCTGGCGATGGTGGAGGCGCGGCACCGCATGTGGCAGCAGATGAACTGGCCGCTGCCGCAGAATTTCCTCAGGAGTCCGCTGACGTTGCCACCGACCGCGCCGCCGTACTTTGACGGCGCGACGACGACGCCGACGCCGGCGCCGACGCCGAACCTGACCGACCAGCTGTCCCAGAACAACGCGCCGACCTACCCCCTGTCCTGCGCGAAACCTGAACCCCTGAATCCTGAGGCCAAACAATCCTACTTTAATAAACGGTATACGCGATTGATGTGCGATGGGAGTGTGTTTATATAGAAAACGAGCGCGCGCTCGCGAGGCTATCACGCTGAATATCTTTTTCTATATATGTGTTGCAGGTCTACGATAGAACAGAAAAACTCCACGTCGTTACCTACGGACAACGCGAAAGCCCAGGATACGGGCCAGCAAAACAATCAAGGTAAGAATTACGCGATTCGCGCACAGGTAACAAAGAAAATCAGTAGCGTGACACATTGATAAAAGTCGCTACACGGTATACGAGTTATTTATTTAAAGCTCTCATCGCGCTCTTACTTGATCTCGACGCTGTGATTTTGACAGATAAAAAGAAACCCCATATAAAAAAGCCTTTGAACGCGTTTATGCTGTACATGAAGGAGATGAGGGCGAAGGTTGTGGCAGAGTGTACCTTAAAGGAGAGCGCCGCGATCAACCAAATATTAGGGAGACGAGTGAGTAAATCTTATACTTTGATATATTTTTTATCAAGTCTTCAAGCAAATTGTTCTACATCAGAGTTATTAATGAATCTCAATGTCTCGATGTCCATTCAATGTATATAAGTTTCATTATTTATCGAGTGTCATAAATCATCTTTACACAGAGTGTATCATCTTCAATGTGTGAAAGTGCAGCTTACATCCGATAAGATTAAATTATCACGCTCTGATGTAAGAATAATTAAGATATGCGAAAGTCAACATTCTCTCGTAATAGAGAGAGAGATAAGGCTCTGAAAATATTTTGAGTATTATTTTTAATCCATCGTAAACTTGAGATTAATTCAGAGATTAAACTGAAAATAAATTCTGCTTATAAATTAACAATTAGATCTTCGATTTCCTTTACGTGAACCGAGTACAGTGACTAATGTATTTTTATCGAGTAACAGTACGTACGATTCTAATTCTGTACCATTCAACTGACAAAGAAAGAGAAAATGTTGACCGATCGTTTATTAAAGATTTTCAGACGAATTTTCATTCTGAGTACTGCATGCATCTTAACGCTTTTATCGAGCAAATAGTTTACCGGGCTACCAATCGGAGCTAACTAACCGTACCTACGTAGTATCTCAGTACGAATAGAGCATTGTAGGTGGGATCTAAGGAAATCTCGGATTCGCCTTGACAGAAAAAAAAAAAAAAAAAAAATGCTGACACGAAAAGGGAAGGGCCGAAGGGTGGTTTTTGCGGGTCTCTCAGCGATGATAGACGTATCTACTTGTCGCTAACGGTAAATAAGTTCGAGCGAGAGGAAGGGACAGAGATAGAGAGAAAGAGAGAGAGGGAGGGAGAGAGATAACGGGGACTGTGCACGAGACTGTGAATCTGAATTTTGGGGGTATGACACGCAGTGGCACTCGCTAAGCCGGGAGGAACAGGCGCGGTATTATGAGGCGGCCAGGCAGGAACGCCATCTGCACCAGCAACGATATCCTGGCTGGAGTGCCAGGGATAACTACGGATATGGCAGCAAGAAGAAGAAGAGGAAGAAAGAGCGCTCCGCAGATCCCACCGGAGGTACCACTTTCCAGTGCTAGAACAGCAGGCCTTATAATAATTCATTATATAATAATTGCTAGTATATACCTATACTGGTTGATTGAAACGATCAAAGTCTCTGTGCGTTTCTTTTTTTTCATAAGTTTCGTTTTTTATATACATTTTTTTTTTAATTTCTTATGGTTTTCTGGCATTCACTCTTTCGTGAAGAATATATATATATCTGTATATATATATATATATTTCTCTTGGATATATTTTATATGTACATATATGCATATATGTATATTTTTTCGTTTTTCGAAACTGAATTGGATTGGATTGTCTGTGGGAATTGTGGAATGTGGCGCAGCAGAGAATTATGAAAAGAAAAAGAAAACGGAAAAGTTAAAAAAATAAAAAAAAAAAAAATAAAAAAAAAATAAAATAAAATAAAAATATAAGAAACGAAAAGCTAAAAGACACGGTGGAAAAATCAACGCGGACTTTCGCGCGGCATGCGATCGCAATTTCTCTTTTTTTTTATCTGGCCAAACTCCCTAAAGCGGTATTCGTTCTCCGGTGAGCAAGAAGAAATGTGACGAGACGAGTTAACGTCACTGATGATGCGATAACGAGAGCGAGAGTGAAAACCAAAGCCTTTAGGTATGGGATGTCTGGTAGAGCCCGGGGCCTGTCCCGCTTTTTCTTCTCTTTTTTTTTCCGTTTCTCGCCGCGGGACGACATCTGCTCGCAATCGCTTACCTCCCAAGACGAGTCGCGCTCGCGGCGATTTAACGAGAAACTGTCCGCCGACAATGTGTGTATCGCTTCCTTCGAAATTCATTCCTCTTCCTCTTCCCCTTCCTCCGTTCCTATTAACATCCACTAGCGCGTATCTGAAATGAGCGTTTCTTTCGGCAAGTGATGGCTTTTCGTGACCAAGTCTCGCAACACTCCTTTGCAATCTCAGTGGCGTGACTCATATGGAGAGGAACTGGGACAGGTGGCGAACGGAAATACACTGGAGGATCGTTTTGCGGTTTTTTTTTTTTTTTTTTTTTTTGTTCGGAATGCCTCAATAGCGCCGAGAGGATTGAAGGACGATGAAATATAATTGAGCTATCCAGCATTAATAAATAATGGACCAACAATTGTCTAGTTGATGGCGCATTTATAATTCTCAGTCTTCCAATTGCGCACTTTAATAAATAAACGTGAAATTAATGATGTAATAAGCAAGATTGAAGTTTATTTGCATCGAAATTATATTATTAATATTTATCTTAAAGATTATATATATCTTTCAGTGATCGCGAGAGTGTACACCAGCTGCGTACGACGTCCTCTTAAGGAGCGTGTTTTCTTCAGTGTATAGCCGTGCCGACACTACCCTTTCACTCTTTCATGCGTGCTACAGTAAAATTTACCATCCGCTATCGTGTTCTCTATCAGACACCCTATATACTTTAGGTTGTTAATTATCGATCATAATATCGACGAATAGCGGTGCGACCGAGGGGGAGGGGACAACCTTAGGCTGTTCTTCTAGCACTTTAAACGGAAAGTAGGGACCCCAGTGTTACTGAAATGCTATGAGGCAACGATTGCGCAAAAAAAAAAGATAATAAAAATAAAAAGAGATAGATAAAAAGTAAAATGAGAAATTTTGAAATAGAGCGAGCTAACTCTGACTCTTTTGAGGCAACATTTTTTCACGCAATTAGGGTGGCGGCAGTAGCATTAGTGAATTTTTGTTCTTTCCTTGATTAAAAATATTGTTTAGTCGTACACACACGGTTCATGCACAATTACAAAAAAGTGTTTGGTTCTCTCTCGGTAGTGGCACGCGCTAGGGCGAGAGGAACAGGCCAAGTATTATGAGTTGGCGCGACGGGAGAGACAGTTGCACATGCAGCTGTACCCTGACTGGTCTTCCCGCGCAAATACCAACCGAACTAAGAAGAGGAAGCGCAAACAAGACACAAACAGTGATCCTGGAGGTACCCACATGCCTCACATCCACACATTCTTACAATCCCCCCCCCCCTCAGTCATAAGAAAAAAGAGAGCCCCTGCCCCCTCCACCCCCACTCATTATTACATATACTGTTATATTATACATTCTTATATTGCTACACTACATTATGTTGCATGTTTCCCCCCATCTTAGGGGTTTTGGGTCGATATATTTTATTATATATATATTATATATATGATTATATGACTATATTATATTATATTATACACACACACACACATACATATACACGCATATACGTTAATATATTTATATATGAATGTGGCTCTATTATACATATGGTTTCTTATACAAATCGCAAAAGTACGTGCGTGCCTATGTATCTGCATCACACACCGGGAACACCTTAATTACGCACACGACACGCAAACGTACATCAGAGACAGACACAACGCATCTTATTATTAATTACGTATACAACTTTGGGGACGCTGGCCATCTTGCATTTTTACAGGGACCTACTCCGCAATCAGACAATCCTGAGCGTTTAATTTTCTCTTAGCCTTTTCGTCTTTCTCTATATCTTTCTATTTATCTCTTTCTCTATCTCTCTTTTACTCTGAAATTTTATTTCTTTGTGAATACTTATCTTGCACTTTCGTTATCTCTTTTTATTCCCCCATCCTTTTTATATCTGTCTTTTTATCTCTATCTTTCTCTCTCTCTCTCTCTCTCTCTCTCTCTCTGTCTGCGTTATTTTCTCTCACTATCATTCTGACATTCCTGAAACTTCGTTTCTCGATTCGTACGTTTATTTTTCTTTGATCGTTTCAATGTTGCCTGGATTCTTTGTTTTTATTCTAATTTTATTATTTTCGTTCTATCGTCACTCAGTAACTTTCGTTTAATCGAATCACTCAGTTTATTCTCGACTCCCACATACGAAATTTTCGTTCACTAGCGTTCGCGCGATAGAGCGCTCACATTCATAATTGATATATATATATATATATTTTTTTTTTTTGTTAGATATATTCCGGAAGCTTGCGTTTATATAATACAAATCACGACATTTCAAACGAGTAGATCTTTGATCGTGTTTTTTAAGACATTTTAACGTTAACGTTGCATGCCATATTATTCGTTTAACGAAGATACGAGTTGTTTATTTTGGAGAATTTAATTGTAAATTTAATCTCGAAAAAAAATATTTACCTCAACATTTCTTATCGTAAGAGAAATGTCTTCAAAAAATGGATTTGTACTACGCTTTCAAAATAGATGGTTCGTATCTTTATCAATATTATATATATATGTATGTGTGTGTGTGTGGGTCCTTCCTTGAAGACTATCGGTCACGCTATAGCAAAGAATAACTTGAGATAGAATTTTACGCAGCTATACTCGCTGTAATTCTTCATTTGTTTAGATTATTTTCACAAACTATTATCTTCGACATATTATATTACATGTAACGTCTCTCTCTTCGACGAAGGTCCTACAGTATATATATATAATCGTCGACAACCCTTTGAGATCGAGGCCAAATAAATCTGTTTTGTTGCTTTAACTCGTACGGATTTTTTTTTATACCATTTTTTAAGCGATCTATTGCAAAACCGAACATTTAACTGTTAAATCTCGGAAAAAACCGATTTTAATTGATATCGCGCCCGGATCTCAAGGGATTGTAACTACCGTTCTGTTACACGCATGACTTAGTTGACATTCGTTAAGTTTTGGCATTCACCGAAGCATAAGTATATTAAACGCAGAAACTCGAGCACCGATTCACTCCATACTACGGTAGATTATGTTCATTATCGCATTCGATTATACACGACAATCTCGTACGGTTTACCAAACATATTCAAATATATATATATATATGATCACCTATCACTTGTTTTTTTTTTCTCACGTGATTGTAGATTACTTCGAATTGATTTTTTTCACACAACGAGAACGTCAATGTCAATAACTACGTCATTCTTTTGACAGAATGTAACATACATTGAATAGTAAAATCCCTCGCTTGCTCGCTCGGATAATCCGCGATTAATCGTACTAATCGTTGCTCTGTTCCCTTTTCTAGGTAATAACATGAAGAAATGCCGCGCCAGGTACGGATTAGATCAGCAGAGCCAGTGGTGCAAGCCCTGCAGGTATGTGTGCAGTGATTTCTTGATACACAATTACGTGATTACAACTTTCGCGACTCGCGTGTAAATAGGTGCTAAATCTTACGCAAGTCTATCTGGATCTAGCAGTGTCACGTCCATCGACTACTTTTTTGCCTTATCACCTCGTTGTTAAGATCAAAGTTAGAGGGTGCGATATTCGCGAAACAAGCTTGAGAAAAACAAGATATCGAGTTCTTTCGCGGATAACGTCAATTGTTCCAACTATAATAATGGTCAAATAATTTAATATTTCATGGCGGACAGTGCTTTAAAGTGCACCTTGATGCTTCAAAAGTATTAGATTGAAAGTTTTTGTCAACGAATTTGGACGCGTATAAAAGACTTTCTTCAAGATCGCTTGTGACGATACCGATCACAATTACGTAGTATTCTTGACGTTCGCCATCTCGTGTCGGTCTCGGACCTCGTTCCCGTCATCCACATGTTATCGTGGAACTTGAAAGAGAGGAGACGCAACCAAACGGTATACCTCTGGGGAGGCGCATAAATATCGATATACGACGTAGCAGCAGAGTCGCCTCGTGTCAAAGGCGACTCGTGTTCGCGGTGACGGTGCCACCTTGGAGTGCTTGTATGAACGAGGAAAAAAACAAGGAGAAATAAGAGCGCAGCGAGACTGCGCGCTATCAGAAAATGTGTCTTCCCAAAACAAAGCAAAAAAAGAAAAAAAAAGAAAAAATCAAGGAGATCGAGCACGACTAGTTGTCTTCTCCAGTTGTGCGAGACGCATCGTCCAACTTGGCTTGTAAATATCGGTTTTTCTATTAGCACTACTCTCGTAGTTTGTTCGCGACTTGTCCACGAGTCACCCGTTTTTTTTTTTAGCGTCGAATAGTCACTAATATGCCCTTAATATCGTTACGGCGTAGCCCAAACGCCCCAACTCCCGGCTGGGTTTGTGAATCTCATGGACCTCATTAAAGGGGCGAGGACAAATTCCGTCGACGGTTCCGTTTATGATTCTTGCACGATGAGAGAAAAGAGAGTCTCTTTTTCGATAGAGAGAAATCAGCAGATTAAACGTCATTTGGGTGGGAAATGTAATCTTTAGAACGCTCTCGATCGCTTTGCCAATCTCTCATCGCCGCGCATGCATGTGGAAATGAATTTAGAAACATGTAAAATCTTCGTATCGTGAAGCGTGCAAAATTTATACTGTACGATTGCCCTCTGGCTTATATTAGTCCCGCCAGAATCAAAGTTTAAAAAAAAAAGATCCTTACTGGAATACCGGAAGCACTTAGTTTGTTGCATTTGAATTTAGCTGATTGCACTCTGCATTAAATGCACGTAACTTACAATGCCGCCTGTATCAGTTGTCGTTATGCCTTCGTCATTAGAAACGTTATCGCGTTATCACCTAAGAGAAAAGATATATTGGAGGATTGTATAACGCGTGATAGATTGTAGAGCAATCACTAACGCAATCTTAGCGCTACCAAGGAGTGCCAAAATAAATTCCGAATCATCGCGTTGATACGAATATTTGGGAGACATATTTTCTGATCGATGCAACAGTCGTCGTCACTATATCTTTCGCCGTCTCTCTTTGTTCCACGTTTACTAAAATTTCAAGTTCGTTCGAACGGGGCCGGCAATACTTTATGAGGTCTACATACGCTTAAATTCACTAATATCCAAACTTTTATTTTGTAATAATCAAAAATAAAACAATATATTTAAAAAAAAGAACATTATGTTCTATATTTCCTCTCCTTCGTTGTATTTGAAAATATAATAAATTGATATGTGCAAATGCCGGCTCCGTTCTTGCCGATTTCACTTGTCGCGAGGAACGAAAAGTTAGAAGNGTTCGGTTTCTCCCCCTTCCCCGACACAGACACGTGCGTGTGGGTGACGACACGATACGGGTGCGAGATTGAGGTGGGATATTAAGTCGACAATATGTCTTAGCAAGAGTGCGCCCCTTTAATGGCTGGTGGTTGGTTTTGGCAGCCCAGTGGAGCATGGAGCGGGGATGGGCATCCACGCGAGCATAATCCATCACGGTGTGGGAAGTAGCGCGGGGGCAGGGGTCGGGGCTGGAGGCGGTGGGGGGACGGTGGGGACAGCCGCCGCCCCGCCAAACACCAACACTGCCTCCAATGCCTCCTCGCCTCAGCAAGAACCCACTTATGTTAATCTCTAGTCAAGCCTATCGCCTCCCTTCTACTGCAACACTTCTTCTTAAACAGTGGTCAGTCCCGACTTTGAAAACCTACGGGCCCCCGTCGGTTCTCGCTATGGTCCCGGCCATGCCGCTCGAAAGAGATACGTAAGATATTTCATAGTACCCCGCGCCGGTATCAAAGTCTCTTTTTTTTTTTTGGTACCTTTGCGCGGAGCTCGTTGGAGATGTCATCGTGAAAAGATACGAGCGAAGGCGCCATAGCGGGGGGCACGACGGTGGCCCGTGTGATGCTCGCATTGTTTCTCATTGTTGTGGCTCTTTACAGCTTATTTATTGTTATTTATTTATCCTCTCGTTTAGTTGGAATTTATTCAGTGTTGCCCTTAGCATGGCTGGTCTGTATAATATATACATATTATATATTATATACATATTTATATATATATATATATATATCTACGTATATACACATATATATAACGATTATTTGCTCAGATTTCGGAACGTTGTTTGACATATATAGAAGGTTTTTATATATTTTAATTTCTTTAGCATGGCAGAGTTCGTACGATTAAGATCGGATGATTGTGTTGTACGGATGTGTTCTTTTTTACTTTTTTTTTTCGTTTACTTTTAATGTCTAATCATTTTTTCTTTTTTGTAATATTTTCATACGGATAACGTGTTTTTATACATATAATGCAAATAACCACTCGAGGCAATTCCTTGGAAAAGAACTGCGCTGGCTGACTGCGTAGAAACGCATTTTTTTAAATCGAAATTTTGCACAATTTCGTGTGTTACTCAAAGTCTCAGAAAGGATTGCAAAGAACTGCAATATGCTTTTAATAACTGTTTTTATCTCTATACAAAAGCATTATTTATTATTAAAAAAAAAAAGAAAGGATATTTTATCTCTCGATATCTTCGATACAATGTGATATAATTTACGAAAAAATTAAAATTAAAAAAAAAACGTATAGAGTTTCTAACATTTATTTTAACTATTCGATGACTCGTCTAAAAAAGAGATAATAGTACATGTATTGCAATCCACTCTGAGATTTTCGAATGCCGTCCGTTGTCGCGCACTAAAAGGAGTAGTTCAACTTTCGTAAGTTTTGTGCAACGCTTTGAAATTCACACAAGTGTGACTGCGAGTTTAATTAGCATCCTCCGATCGTTCTCGGCGGCACGGCCGACGAGAAGCTAACTGATTCAGCTGAGAGATAAATAATGAGAGCCAATGGCAGAGCGGCAATATGTCGTCTCGACTGCGAAGCAGTTCTCTAGACGAGGTCGGACGGGCTCACTTATGAAAATTGTGCAGTAGCAAAACAAGCCTCTCTCTTCCTTTCGTCATCTCGGAATCTACTATTTTATCGATGTCCACCTTTGTGTTCACGCGACTGTGAAAAAAAAAGAACTTTTCTTTTAACGCACTTTACAATTGGTCGCGATATATTCCAAGTTCCACGTAACATAATAGCGCTTTAGTGCGTCTCGTTAATAAAAAAATTGGCTGTCTTAAATCGATAAATCGACACACCGCGTATGAAAAAAGAAGGAGGTACCGCGCGAATTCTCATCGGATCCTCGATATTCGGATGATCAACGATTTAATAGATGCTCCCCCCTCCTGATGGCATTTCGATTGAGTTTTATTATTTCGTTTCCACGTTGTATCTTACACATTATGCTTGTTACGTCTAAGGATCTCTTGAGCATGGCATTTGCGAGCGAGTGATCAATGTCGAGCAATCCAAGCATCGCCAGGCGCACAAAGATCGTCGTTCACTCTGGCAAAGATCGAGCAGAGAGACAATTTACCAAACTCGAAAAGCAAATTTGTGCGTCTGACTTTGCGGTGATGACATGAGTGATGGCATGTTTTTTTCAGTTGGTAACAATTCTAGATGTATAACATATTTTTTCACGGACGTATTTCCAACGGTGAGGATTTTCTATTGAATATCGAGCAGAGACGTTTTTTGAAAGTCAAATTAAAGTTACTTAAAAATTGTTTAATTGTTGCCTGATATGATTATAGTATCAAAAAGATTTGACAGCTTTCCGTAAAAAATATTGCGTTTTCATTCTTGTTTCACATAATTGCTAAATATGAACAAAAAAATTTGCAGCATACATTCGCCACGTTATCTAACGATAAGTAAATGATCTCACAGATGGAAATTGATTGTCCTGATATTATTGACGTCATTAGCCTCCGAATCACCTGCACGAGTGCACACTAATTGATTCCCCGATCGTTATTTACAGACGTAAGAAGAAATGTATCAGATACATGGGGGAGGGAGGAGACGGCGACGGTGAAGTGGACGGCGAAGCCGAGGACGACCATTCGGAGGATAATCTGGGCAGCGTAGGTGAGGCGGGAACTCCTGAGGATGACGAGTCCCTCAGCAGTCCCGGGGGCCTGTCCGCGTTGTCTAGTCTGGCGAGTCCTTCGCTGGTCTTACCATCGCCCTCGAGTCTGTCAAGCCCGTGCCCGTGTCCTTTAACGCCTCCGGTGCCACCGCCGCCCTTGTCGAACACGAGCCAACCGTCGCACAATCAACCGGCAACGACGGCGGCGGCAGCAGCGATGGCTGGAGTGGCGGTGACGACAGCGGCGACGCAACAACCAGCTCCGCAACCGCATCGCAACCCCGTCGGCACGAATCCTCATGACATCAATAATCCGCTCAGCGTGAACCAGCTGACCGGACAGTGTATAAAGAGCGAGCCCGCGCCCTCGGGCCCCTCCAATCCGGCGATCAGCGTCACGTAGCCCCGGCCGGACCCACATGACCGAACTGTTGCTACATGCGGTGTCATCTACGGGGTCCGTCTACGTGTGCGCGCGATAAGAAAGCCGGATGACGAGGTGATGAGAGATTGGCGGTTGAGAGAAACTTCCCCACCATCACGGGCAGGTTTTCACTTTCGTTTTAAGAGGGGAGTTTTCGTTTCACCGCCGATCTGATCAGGAGGGACCAGAGTTTTAATATTTTCAGAAAAACACTTGAAGATAGTCCGAGGGATCGCTCATAATAATAGTTGATCGTGCTTTAATTGTGAGAATCGAACGCGGTCTGCGCGATCTAAGCAGCATCGTTAATGATCCAGATCCGGGCATGAAAAGTTGTCGATCGCCGCCTCGTCATTGTGAATGATGGTGTTGCCTTCGGTCGTTTTCTCCTGGCATAGCCTCGCTCTTATGCATTCGCCGAAGTACAGGTCATCCAGTGTCCGACATACACACAAATTTGGGAATAAGAATCAAGACATTATATACAATATGTGTAACAAACGAATAAAAACAAATACGATACAGAAATACTCAGGACCAAGTATTTGGCTGTAGTCACCCGCTCGGCAAAGAGAAAAAGGTCTGAGCGAGATATGTAAGCGAGAGAGAATATGTATGCGTGCGTGCGTGCGTACAAAGCAAGGGAAGAGCAAAAGGTGCACGTCCAGCTAATAATGTGACTGAAAGAAGGACTCGTTGGAGGTGCACGTGACGCAGCTTGTAGTCCTTGTTACGTTGTGATGCCAATGACTGAAAGGTCATGTTCCTGTGCCAGCTACTATACTCTAGAGAAGTAATTGTGTCGCGAACAAGTAGCTAAGAGCGTAAGATGGAAGAGAGAGAGAGAGAGAGAGAGAGAGACGTAAAAATAGAAAGAAAAAGAACAGAACGGAAGTCGCGTATGCGATGCGTTTTATTGTCATTTGATTATTCGACCTCATCTCTCACACATAGGTGTCGAAATACCTATCCTCTATGTATATGTAATTTGTTATTTTTTTAAAAGTCTATACACAGTGCGGTTGATTAGCGTGTAAGATATCCTTAATAATCCGAATCCCTGCTCACTTTTTATTCGAATACTTTTTCCTCGAATATCTCTCTTTCTTCTACATATACATGTCCTTTCTTTTCTTTATTATAATATTCTATTATTTGGAAGTGATGCAATGCGATTGGCATGATTTTATATCATAAGTCTCTTTTGCGCATGAGTCTTTTTTACAAAATATAATAATGCTATTATTTATACGTATTAACATTAATAATACGTATAAAATAAAACATATTATATCTTTAATATCCTCTATTATTGCTATCACAATTGACTTAATATCGCTTAAGATCTTTACCCTTCGATTCTCTCGTGACTTTAGTCGTCAATGCGACAAACTTTCGACTGAACGAAGACAATAACTGCGATAAATAAAAGAAATATATAAGAAAAAAGAGAGAGAGAGAGAGAGAGAGAAGACAAAGGGTCGAGAAACGCGGGCACAATTTTTTATACAAGGATCGAGACGACTTCATTGAATCGTTCGCGATTACTGTACAAAAAATGACGTGTTTTGGAATCCTACGATTATCTCGTAATTCATTTGTTTCTTCTTTGTATTTCTGTGTTTCTTTCTCTAGGAGAATAATTTCTGCTCATCCTTTCCTTATCTCACTCTTATGTGCTAACATGACATATAATAGCGACATATACGGTTAAAAAATTCGTCCGACTTAAGGACTAATGTCAATTTGTAATTTGTGCGTCAGAGAAATATATGTCTCTTTCAAATCGTTTTAGGAAGAAAATTTCTATTATTGGAACAATCACACGCATCTCTCGGCAATTACTGGATTTTAAGAAGAAAATTGTATAATTATACTCCTTCTGTAAAACAGAATTTATTTTATTCGAGTATTCTTTTTATTTTTTCTTTCTTGCCTTTATTTCACATTTTGCGAATGTTAGAATAATGCGCATTTTTGTCGTTACGCGCAAAATAATGTTACATTTTTATTGGCGACTATCGACAGTTTTTTAATGAATTAACATTTTATTATATATCTTGTTTACCGTGGTGTAACGTGCAAATGTGAACGAAAAGGCCTCTCTGACAACGGACGGTAAAATGAACAAATCAAGAATGCGAGTTATTGTTCTAAAAAAACTCTAACACACAAGCGCACGTTTCGAATGAAACAGAGGTTGTGAATTGTGCGATAAAAGATCGTCTATTTTATTCTTGCCCGTTTTGCTATTGAGACTTTTTGCTAGTTTTTTAAATTTTTTAGTCTTTTATCAATTTGTGTGTGATATTTAATAAATTCAATATTTTACGTCTAGATTTTGTAGATTCGATATTTTATTTTAATAATGAAAAAGCAATAGAATGAAAAAGCAATAGAAGGCCTTTTAAATATTTTTGCAACAGAGCTCATTCGCGCGCACGCGCGATAATATTTTCAAGAGTCTTGAATCGCACAATTTCGAGATTATATATTTCAAGTATATATATAAGCGCGACACATTGTTAGAGATTTGGTTCTGTTTCGTTGTGCGACATATTTCGGTGCAATTTTAATCTTCCTTTATTATATTACCGGCCAAAAGAGGTAAAGCGCAGCATAATGGGTCCTTTACAACAGTTGTTCTGCGAGCGTTTATTTCAGGGGGAGTGCAGTTTCTCTCTTGTACATAAAAAAAATATGTTTTATAAGATGCATTTGTTGCGACGCATGGGAAAGTGCAATGGAGGTGCCAACGAGAGAGTGCCGAGATCGCGCGTGTTTGTGCGCCACAAAACGGAAGCGTTGACGTTACGCGCGAATGTGTGCGGACATCGGTGAAAATGTTTTCTTTTTCCTCTCTTCTTTCCCTTCCGCAATATGTTCTTCTTTTTTTTCTTCTTCCTTCTCTTCTTTTTTCAACCGACTGAATCGCACGGTGTACGTCCGTGCACGGCGAAGACCGCGGCTGTAGAAACGCGTCGCTGAGTATAGCAGCAAAACTAAACGTGCCATAACAACACCATGCCAATATTAATGATAATACGCATATCGTTTCTCTTTTTTTATATTACGATCTATTCGACCTTGTTCTGTCAGTCGTAAGCGTCAGGCCCATCGATGCGAATATGTCCTTCCTTATCCCCGTCCTTTTCGTTCGCTCTTTTAGCTTCATCTATCCTTCCTTTCCCATCCTTTTCCGCTTTCTTCGTTTATCGATCGAACTAGTTACATAGACTGAAAGCGGCATTTAATATGAATCTTCTTGCGAACGTAATGCAACTCTCATCTTGATCTCCCTCATCAAACGTTATCGAGTCGGAAACGATACGAAAAAACGGATTCACATATAATACATGAAGCTCTCGAACTTAACAAAGAAGTAAAGTAACTGTGGACTCTCGTGAATACAAGAATGTTCGATCGAGAAACCAAAGTATCTATCTATCTATTATCTATCTTCCTATCTATCTACCTATCTCCTTACTCCTCGAACAAGTACGGGGCAAGGACGACCAGCGATGATGTCTCACGAGAGACGAGTACGAGAGAAAAGGAGACAGCGGAGACTTATCACCACTACTGGTTGTACTGACAGACGTAGCCACTACTACGAGAAAACAAGACTCGCAAAGTCGTGCGATGTTTGAATATTGTATGCGACGGTGAGGAGGGTGACGCGAGCAGTCTCTTCGACGGACAACCTTCGGAAATGAGGATTTGTGAAACTCTTCGAAGAAAAGTATGTCCGCTCGCGTCTCACCTGCCTCCCATTTCACTTTGCTAGAAACGAGACAACGTCACGTAGGATTCGGCAGCGGACTATTCAGAGACGCAAAAGCGTCTTCGTGTTTTTTTCGAGGACGCGTATTAGGGAGAAGGAGAGGAGAGAGAGAGACGTATCTTCGGGACGCAGAGTAAATAATCTTTGGCGGGCAAACTCGCTCGATATGGCCTAAAGTCCGCTCGAGAGGAGATATCGAGATTCGCTCGTAAAGTCCGCAAGGAAACGACACTCCCTTTCCAAGGTGACGGTGACGAGAGGACGACCAAGGTCCGCTCGAGCCGACCTGTCCCAATTCGGTGCTCGTGTCTCGCTTCAGAGGAGTGGTTGTACTATATTGTAAAGTATCAATCGACAGTTCTCAGCTGCGTTGTACAGTGTTTTCTAAGTATTTAGGTTGATAGCGTGTAATTGAGAAGAAAAAGGAACATTGTATTTACACTAATAAGTGATCTGTATCAAATTCATTCTCGTATAGCCTGTACTCCTACTCATGTAGATGCTAAAAGTGATTTGTGTCATAAAGAAAACCTATAAATAAAATTAGCACTTTGAGAATGTTGTTCGGCTGCGTGTACGAATTCTTTCCCCCTTTTCCACTCATTCGTTTTTCGGCTGCAAAACATAAGGAGAGATTTTATTTTAGGATCATAAGAATATTCTTTCACATGGATTAACGATTTTTGCATTGCGTGTACCACACAAAAAAACCTGACTAGAAAACGCATTACTGTTCGCACTTGGGTGGACAAATGTCTCGCGCATCCGAGAAGAAATGCAGGCTCAATACATTGATTGCATTTAGAGTGTACACATTTGGCCGTTTAAGATTGCAGTTGGCCACAAAAATCCCGGCCATTTTCGCGACACTGTTGCACCTAAATACGCAGGCGGCCCCGTCGTAGGCGAATCTGCCCCGATCGTTTCTCGCGCACGGGTCGAACATATAGAATTTACCATAGTGCTGCATAACGGCTACCGCCAGATTGGTCGTGTGCAGTATCCCGGCGCAATTCGTGCGGAAAAACATAGCGAGCGCCTCAGACAGATCGAAGGTATGGAGTATCCCCGCGGCGGTATGATTGTGAACGTGGATGGTGGCCCGGAGATCGCCAACGATGAACACTGTGAGCAGTTCGCTGGGTGAGAGATTCCTGGCGTTCACGCGAGCACAACGTGCGCTGTCCGAGTACAGTGAATCGCCGTATTTAAGCACAGCGTCGATCAGCTCGGGCGTCCACGTAGACGGTACATGTAGCAGTCCGACTACGATGGCGATCGCCGCGATCGCCGTGCTCTGGTGACCTCTGTTCCTCAGGCCGAAAACGCGATGACACATGTGCAGGCTGCCGCGTAGAACATCGAGCTCCTCCTCCACGACGGTATACTGACTCAGTGGCTTCACGTCCAACGTGGCGATCTTCTTCGCGGAAATGATCGGTGCGAGTGATGCACTATGATCGAAATGAAACCGGAAACCAGCTGGACACGGCAAGGGTTTTATCACAGCAGTCTTTACGATCACCCGACAGATTTCAAAAGTCCCGTATCTCTCGTGCGGATCGATGCTTGTGAAGATTGCATCGTACAAAGGTTCCATACAGGCGAACCACATCGTGCATGAAGTTCCATGGGGATCTGGCAGACCTTGGTCGCTTCTCGCTTTAGGATTGTACATAAAGTAAACACCTAAATCCTTCCAAATAGCGAGCATACCGCGATCAACTACTAGAATGCCGGCACGGTTATTCTGGAAGAATTCTTGCAGACCTTCCTCAAGTAAAATCGGAGACGGAGATGGCGATCGTCCTCGTCGAATTTCCTTCTTGTTTCTGTCGATCTTTGTTTTGTCTTCTCCTCCTTTCTTCTTTTCCTCTTCTATATCGAGAGGTGCGATTGCCACTAGACCGCTCACAGTGTTGGGCTCGATGTCAGCAGTCAACACATTGACACCTTGGGAAAAATATAAGAACAAAATTTTTTACGTCAACTGCTATCAGAAATAAATACTAAAAAAATGCTATCCAACTATCGATCAATATTTTCAATAATCACGAGAACAAAAGACCCACCGACATAGAATACTCTGATAATATCCTTCGGTCTCAATCTCGATTTGGTTGGTCTTGCCTTCCTCGACTCCCGATGAACAGCAGTACCGATCGCTAAAATCTCGTCCATAGTTTTCTTCGTCCAGGTAACGGGGCTCTTCACGATCGACATGCCAAGCGCGACGATGCAATTCGCCGCCGTTTGTCGGTTGCGCAATATTTCGGGAAAGATCTCGTCACCCTGATGGTAGCTACCGCGCAAAATCGCCCGCGCCTCGCCCGGCAATTTTTTATAAGCGTTCAAGGGCGGCAGATTTGCCGGTCGGATCGCCGGACTGGGATCGAATCTCCAAGGCTTATCCCGGTCCAGCACGTCGATCGCGGTGATCTGATAGTCGTCCGCCGTCCCCAGATGACGTAAAATATATTCTACGAGGAGACTCGCGTCTCTGAATCTAAATACTCGCGGTACCGTCGTCGCGGTCTCGTCTGCAACGATGGACCAGTCGGGTATCAAAGCATAGTATGCATTGTCGGTCTTCCATATGGCGATATTTCGATTTCCCGGCGTGATCAATGCACCGGCATTGTACTTGTCGAAGAAGCTGTCGATACCAGTCCGCAGATCGTGAATCTTGGGCGGTCTCCCGATAAGATTGCCTGCTTGAACGCAATCCTTGATCGTTAGAGCGATGCGTCGACTGGATAAGAAGAATTCACTGATAATCTCGTTCACCAGGGGCACCGAACCCACGCCCAGTCGCTCGACGCATTTCGAGTGCAGTTTGTCGCCGGTGACGATAACTTCGTCAAGAACGGACGGCGTCCAGTATTTCGGTTGATAGACCTTAATTTATTTTTCACGTACATTTTTTTTGCGTAATCTAATCTCCTCAATCGATTAACACACAAAATGATTGTGAAAAATTTATCATTAGTTACACAGTTCAATAAAAAAATTCAAGTTAAAGAATAACACAGTTCGACAAAAAATAGCTTTTTTTGAAAGACTAATAATTTTTTTTTATGTTGAATGATAAAGCAATTTGGAATCGTATTCAAAAACTACGGGAAATAATTATTTTTCTTTCTTGTATGTTTTTTTGTTAAACTGTGAATCATTCTTTATAGTTTTTATGGTATTCGATTTGTCTTTAAAAATACTTTATCACATCACAATTTTGGTAAATTCGAAAAAAAGAGATTAAGTATGTATAAAGAGACCTTGGAGAAGACGATGGCCATCGCGGCAATGACTGCGCTTTGCTTGCCGCGATTTGCCTCGTCGAATCTTTCATCCGTCATGGCGATGTTACCGTCGATGCTCCAGACACCGTCAGCGAGTTTGGGAAAATGGTGCCACAGATCCTCTCCGGAGGTGGTCTTTTTGACTCGTCGTGCTTCGGCCACTCGCGTTTCGTACGCATTCTCGACCGTGATGGCATCGATGACGAAATCGTCGTCCTGTTGCGCGACCTCCCGTAGAACGCCGGCCAACGAGGGGATATCGGTGAACCACATCACCGCCGCGGCTCCATCCTTATTCCCAGGTTCGCCGTGAACGTTCCTGCCTCTAGGGTCCATTGTGAAGAACACATTGCCCTCCTTCCAAATCGGCATCATCACGTTACCCTGACGAAACACTCCCATCGCGTTCCCTTCGAAGAACTGCTCCAGTAGCGTCGACACATCCGCCGTTTTTCCAGTGATAGACTCTTCCTCAAGACCAATCGATATTCGATTGACACCTATGGTGAAGTCTTCCGCAATCTCCGACGGGAGAAGATAATTCCTGGGTGATTCCTCCTCAGCCTCCGCTTCGGGCAGATTTGCTAGGTTTTCGACGGTGAGTTTGTCGCCGATCCTCAGGATGTCGTCCACGAGTTCGCGATACCATAGATGAGGATTGTAGAGTTTGGTCATGGCCAAGGCCGTCAAAGAATTGGCAGCCTCCTGTTTGTCCCTCGTTTGCCGTTTAAAGGCTGTCTCGTTTCCTTGCTCGATGGTGCCCAAAAGTAGAGCGCCGGTGTCGCCCAGACTAGAGTAATTATTCAGATCCGGCACGATCGGTATCCGTTTATCCGCCTCGATCTCCTCGTCCGTCATTGACGTGCCGATAGAGACGTTCTTCAGCTCGTGTATCGCGAAATCGTTATTTTTAGGATCCCGTCCGACATTCTTCTCGATGAGATTCGCCAATGTCGAAAGATCCGATGTACGCACCACGCAGGCAGAATTCTCTTCGTCTGTCTCTGCCGACGATTGACCCAGTTTATCTCGAGGATTCGGATCGAAGTAGTAGTAGAACGTTTCCTTATCTTCGTCTTTCACATCTTCCTCGACCTTCCACACCGCCACCGAGAGTCTTCTCGCCTCGACTATTCCATACTGCTTGTTCTCGAAGAACCGACGTAGTCCTTCCTTCAAATTAAGTAGCTCAGAGTCATCCGATGCCAATAGATCGCCGACGACCGCCGTGTCCTCCACATCGATGATCACTTTTCGATTCTTGAAGTATAAATTTCTTTTCAAATCTTGAACGAGAAACGGCCTTTCCTCGGTTTCCTCTTCCGTTTCGGCAGGCTTGCACCAGTTGTAATAAGCGTCACCCTCTCTGACCGCTTCGTCGACAGTCTCGCTACTCCATCTTGCCGGTGGCGTCTCCCACGCGCTCACCAGAGCCACCACCGGTATGGCGAGACCCTGAAGCCCCTGATTCTCCTCCTCAAACGACTCGTCCATGTTGGAAATTCCGCCGCGCAACACCCATGTCTTACCTGCCTCACCGGGCTGAAAATCGTTCCAAGGTCGAACGCCGACGATATCGTCCGCGATCGCGACGTGTCTGATCGTGAACCGGTCGTTTTTCCTTGCCGGGTCGACGTTCTTCAAAAACAGAGTGATTAACGAGTCGATGTCGGAAAATCGAATCACGCAGCAATTTCCTACGTCTTTCATATCCTTCGATACAATTTCCTCCTTTCTTTCTCTCTCCGCGACCTTGGTAGCATTCTCTTTCGCGATTCTGACACCAGCAGTATCGCAGGATCGAGGATCAAACAGATAGTAACAATCGTCCTGGCTCCAGATTGCCACCGCCATGGACGTTGTCTCAATTACGCCTTCTTCGTTTACCAGAAAAAACTCTTCCAACGCTTGCTTCAGGTTTAACACTGACGGCATCTTGGAACTGAGCGTGCCGGTCACAGTGATCAGATCCACGTCTATCACCAATTTACGATCATTCACTTGGAGCTTCGCGTCATTCAAATCAGCAGCTGTCATCGTCTTTATCGTTGGCTTGTCGAACTTGATGCTAGCATAGAGCGAATCACCGAGTTTCAGAATCTCATCCAGCTTCGACCTCATCCATGTCTTCACTGGGTGAACCTTCTTCATGGCAATAGCCACCACACAGTTGGCCACGTTTTGATCGCCTTTGCCTTTGTAAATCTCGCTGCCTTCGTGAGTAAAACCGTGAAGAATCGCCATTTTGCCGCGCAACTCTTTAAACGTGGACGGCACGTTGACGCGCATATCATCGTAGGAATAGCCGGTGTCGAAATCATTCCGACTCACCAACGGCTCCGTGGCGAAACGACGATCGATGCTGTAATTTGAGATGGCGATTGATAGCGGCTCCCTGCGTATCCTCGCGGGTGTGCGCGACTTGTCATCCTTGGGTATCGGCTTGGTGCAATCAGTCTTGTGCTCGTCCGGTAGATCGATAGACCGCAACATGCTCTTCCGGATTATCGGCAGACCATCGGGTAGACGATCGATGAAACCGCGACCGACCTGTGTTTTTCCTTAATATTTTATTCGAACTTTCTTTGTGTAATTTCTTATTCTTTATTCTTACACAAGAGAGAGAATATATAGGATTTTCTGATCAATTTTGAGTTGATTTTTCCTTCCTAACAAAAATATCGAGGGAAGTCATCATTTTCCCATCATAAATCTTTGCAACTAATTGTAAGCCTCAAATTAAACTTTTATTAAAGTAAAGTCTATCTGAAATTAACTGAAGAGCAAAGTTTTGTTAACTTTTTAATTCCACAAAGTATAGTTTACGAAAAGCTCTTCTTTTTCAATCACTTGTAATTCGGAAAATATAGATATACAACATTTTCATTAAAGAAAAATCATCTCCCCAAATTGCCTAAAGAATCTGCTATTAAAAAAATATCAAGAAATTTTTTAAGACAGCCTGTATATTAGCTTCAGAATCAAACAACTAAACAACTGCTGTTGTCGTTACCTCTGTAACGCGCAGCACGGTGACCTTGTCGATGCAGTATCGAGAGTCATAGCGCTGGTCCAGATTCTTCAGCAGATGATCGTGCAGATCGTTGATGCATTTAAACCTCATCAGGCAAGCCACACCGCCGGAGCGACGCAGACCGGTCTCGTCACACGACGCCGGGTCGTAATACAGAATACTTTTGGCATCGGGAGATTGTTGCCAGACAGCGACGGAACTACCCTGCGCAGTGATCACTCCAGAATCATTGTCCCTTAAAAACTTGTGCAGACCCTGGGCGAGATCGGTGCAGCCGATAGACCCGCTCAAGAGATTGCCGTGGATACCGCTGTCTTCGATGCCGACCAGGATCTTGCAGAAATCGATGTAGAACTCGTTGTGCACGCGATCGGTCCTCATGTACTCGTCGTCCATCAACCGCGTTCTTGCGGCGCTCGCGCGGAACAGCCTGTCACCGTGCTCGAGCACTTGGTCCACATGATCCCTCGTCCATTCCTTTGGCTCGAATAGACGTCCGTAAGCGACGGCCACCACCGAGCACGGTGCCGCTTGCCGTCCGCGACTTCTGTACTTGAATCGCGGATCGCTCATCGCGCGGGAACCCCGAAGGATAAACGAATGTGACGTGAGAACCCGAAAGCGATGCCATCGTTTTCCGAAATCGTAGCGAGGCGAGAGCCTCCCTTTTCCTTCGGTTCGACTTATATCACCCTCTCCGATGTTCTCCATTACCTTTTAACTTCGTCCAAGATTTACCTCTCTTGATATCTCACGCTCTTCATACATTATTCCAACTAATCCGAAGACACATGATATTTCTTTCCCGTAAAAATAGATGGAGAAGTTAGTTAGTGAGAGATTTATTAAATTTATGTCTTGTGGGATTGCTTCACACACTTGTAGATTTACGAGGATGATCGAAATGTGGCTTGTGCAGGAGAGAAAGGACGGCTGTCAAAAGAAATATTAGTTTAACAGCCCAAAACAAAAGGTATCGATCGGGTGTCCTGAAAAAAAAAACATATTTATAGCTCCTGTGATACTTTATATTTTCCGAAGAGTTGTGTCATATTCGAGACACAAGATACAGAAAAAAATTTACGCTCGTTCTTAAAGGTAAGAGGAATGTACAGGAGCGATCATAATATAAAGTATACCTAAAACTTTATTACATCAACATATGAAAAACGTAATAAATATTATAAATACACAAGTATGTATAAAGTAAAGCCGAATACAATCTGCTCTTTATTGTAATAATATCAACATTTCCTTAGCTGAGTAACCATAAAGACTTATGTACAATATAACGGCAACGGAAATCAATTTTTGCAGTTTTGATCATTTCCTCAAAAAATTTGATACAAGCGGAGCCGACAACTATGTTCCACGAATAATCGGAAAATGCTGTAATCTGTCGTTGTAACGGTAACAAAATTTTTTTTATTAGCTTTCACGCGCGATGACAAAAGCTATTACCTTTTATTTACAACGCATATATCTTTCTTTATGTATATATGTATATATATATATAGATATGTGTGTACATACTTAACTGTTCTAATCAGATTATTGTAACAAGTTACCAAAAAATATCTACACGTAAAAATATAGATATATATGTATGTATATACATATAAACACGCATACACATATCCGCGCGCGCGTGCGTATATGTGTGTCACGGCTGTAATATAATCATAAACTATATATATATATATTTATATACATATATATACATATATACTTATATATACTACATATATATACTATATATATAGTTGTTATTCTTATATAATAAACATCAACGTAAAATCTTTCCGTTAACAGTTTTTCTTTATCATGTGTGCGTGTGAATATATCATTCTTTTATAATATATTATATATTCATATACGTATATACGCATTGAGAATATCCTTTGGCTCGCATTTTTTCTCTCTTTTTTATGCAAGTATCCATCCGACAGATCTAAAATATCATTCTTCTCGTAAACGTTGGGCCGATCTAAGCTCTACACATCGAGGTTTCTTCGCCGCACGTGAAGCGTAAATCCGCCCCAATCAACGGGCAACAATTAGCACTACGAATATGCGTTACATGCGTATATATCTATCTATTTATATAGATAAACGCACGCAACACATATTCATCTGCGTGAAATATATATAGATCTATAATATTTGAATATATATGTTTTTTCCGTATCCGCTTAAAGTATCCATTCATGCGCGATCAGCGCGCACTATCTATTACAAGTGCGAATCGATACAAGTGCGCTTATGTACATTATATGCACACATTTCAAAAATATATCCCTAAATTATCGGCATTATTATTCGCATCGAAACTGCTACCGCTGCTGCTGCTGCGCGAATGCCCCAGCTAAAGAGTCTTACTTCACGAGAGAGAACCACATTGATTTTATTAAAATATATATTCAACAATTACACGCATCTATAATTTTAATGTTAAGAAGAAACATCAGGTGGCCGCAAAGGACACGCAAACGCTTGAAATTGCGGATCCGCGGTCGGGCTACTATGTTATATTAAGACCGCGAGATCACACGATGATAATCTCTGTTCTCTTCCTTTTGTTTTACTTATCATCACAGACGGAAAAGAGAGTTAATATTATACACTACCAACAGCATTATCGCATTTTTCTCCCTTATCATTCTTCTACCATTTTACTAATTTTTTGCACGGAATCATCGAACGTGTTCAACCGCAGTCGGGAAGTAATTAAAAGGTGATTACGAATCAGCTCTGTAGAATTTTAATGCATCTTCGTACTTTGTATTGAAAAAGATTCGCTTGTAAGTTTCGGCGGAGAAAACCGCGCCGTCATAAGAACTTTTATTATTCATTCAAAAATTATATTTAAGAAGAATTCAACGAAGAATGATGATGAATTGCAAGAGTGCGTTCCAAATCAATAAAGAATTCATCAATACGTGAACAGAATAATAGACATGCTCTTAATTTAAATTATGATTAAACATTGTCCAGCACTTTTACAACACGCGCGCGCACACACACACATACATACTCACACAACTTTCATCGAACGCTAGAAAAACGAACGGCCACACGACTCGTTACCGTTTTACTTGTACATCATTAACTGAGATTCACAATATCTTCGCGCTTCTCTTCAAGCGTTTCAAGAATCGCGAGCATTCTCACCGACATCACACTAAATTATAGCAAACGAATGTCGCTCATACGAGAGAAAGAGCGGGGCAAGAGGCGCAAGGAATATCGCGTTAAAACAATGAGACGCGAGAAGAACGAGGGAAGAATGAATCGTGCGAAAGATCGATCATGTACATCAGTTCCCCCCACGTAAGATTGCCCATTACCTTTCGCACGATTCGCGTGTTGCATCGCCTCCGTATATGTATATATATATATATATGTGTATATATATACTTTTTTTCATTACTTTATATACGATATACTTTCACATAACATCGATTAATGAAAGTTGAAGTGTGTCCTCTAGAAATTTAATTATCCAAGAATTACTATTGAATTGTCTAAGAGAAATGTCACGAGAAGTTCTCATGAATAAACTTATCCAAATCCGCGTCATCCTAGGTGTATTTGAAACGCAAATCACACATAATAATTTATATCTATCTATACATATATATGGCAGGTTCAAATTCCATCTGGCAATATATCACATAATCTAATCGGGACATCCTCAAGACATTATTATTAAAAAAGTCTTTATCAACGCCAATAAGATAATAACATAATGGAGATCATGCCACTTCGCGACTCGAGGTACTATCATTTTGTTTCGTGTCAATGCTATATAAACTAACATTTTTACTATTGAACGCTTCTGTTTTGGTCCCACGAAATTGCACAATCGCCTCTACTACTAATGGGATACCGAATACTTTTCTCCGACGCGAGAAGTACGAAGACAATTTTGAGGATAATCGGTAAGGTGAAACGGTAATGAGGACGCATATATCGCCCGTATACACTTTTGGAAAATTTGTCTGCGAGATCGTTTTTCACCGGAATAATTCGTGCCGCGAATGCAAAATCAGGGGCAACGACGTCTAGATACTGGAAGTCGAGATGTAGAATGTGGCTCAAAGATTCGTATGGAGGAAGGATTTAGATTTCGTCTTCTCGTTTATTTATATACTATGATGACTCGCTGAAGAGTTACAAATATTTCTTATTATAGAATGTCGCTTGAGTTTTTCTAAAAACACGCATCTGTTTGTCCTAGATTTACTTATTTACCGTATTTTACTTTCGATTTGTTGTGCGACTATTTGAAACAAACGCGCATTAATCAATACACGTCAATTTGTGTGCATTAAAGTTTCGAATATCTTCCTCCATTCGAATTTGATATGATATTATTATCATAAACTCCCATCGTTCTCTATCTACTTTTCATATCGTATATAAATCGTATAAAAATCAAGCAAAAAGTAAATTCGGATCGACTGGACGATGCTTTACGTGAGAATGAGAGAGAGAAAAAGAGAAAGAAGGTATTGTGTCCGAGAGTTCACGATTGGTTTTACAAAGAAGTGAACGACACAAAGCGTCATGCTTCAACAAATCTAAATGTATGGTCGCTCTTGAGAAACGATTATATGTCTCATATATATCTTTCTCTAATCAGTGTTTTACCTCAACATTTTAACAAGCCTAAATGTGTATATGTAGATGTTTTTTGTATATATATATTATACAACGAAAGTAACTCTTTTGTTTTTAACAGCCTCTATCGTAAAGTCAACACAAGTATTAACTATCTCGGTTAGGGTGCTTGGCAAGAAACCGTCGAGGCCAGGGTAGAGGCCAATCATATTGTCGTGGCACCGTGCCGCCTACATTCTTCTCAAAATATTTGAAAATAGGGAACCACCAGAGCCGGGCCAAAAAGTTGTTTGGTCCATATTGCTGCAAAGGTTTCATTATTCTTATGTGCAACGATAATATCACAATATATACACTGTTTATTAATTGTTACTTTGCATATGGCATATTAACTAATTAAAGTTGATTAATATTAAATCTATATCTATATATTATTAATATTATTCAATATATTTTATTCATATGCGTCAATATCATTAGATCAATTGTTACTGTAATTGTAATGATTATCAAGTTTCGAAAAAAAAAAACACATCTTTGTCGTTGAGTAGAGAATTTTCGTGCGGAAGCGATTCAAAGTAGAACGTACCTTAAGATTCGGGTTGTTGGCCAGCGTGTGATAAATATACCACAAGCGTGTAGTAACGTAGAACGCTATAAGTACATCAACCGTATAATGGCCGTGAGCTACCAAGACCATAATTACCCCGACGAGCACCGCCAAACCCGCTCCCCAATGGATCGGTTGACACCTCCTCGGAGAATCTGAAATTACGGATAGCCGTCAATTTTTACCGTCGCGCCTTTCTTTTTTTATCTTTTCAACAACGAAGAAGGGACATACATTCCTTAATGATCAGGTAACTGAGCACGAGCACGACCGTGTGTCCGCTGTAAATGTAATCCCCGCAGTAAGTGTGCTTGCCGTTGATGGACAAGCCGAAGCCGGAAATGAGCTGCAGGACCCTTTTCGTCACGAGTAGCGGACTAGTGTTGTTCGCCTTCGGGCTGCAGTAGTAAGTCTTACTGGCGATCGGTAGGACCGTCACGTACATTGTGACGCTTCTCATCATGTAGAGTAACCCCATCAAGAGAAATACTCGTCTAACTACTATAAATCTGCAAGAAAATTAATATTTATTTGTCAGTGAAACCGTCGAACCTTTACCAAGAATCGTTCATTCATCCTTTACGTCGCGCTTACCTATGCTTATGGAAAATAATAAAAACCATCGCGCAGTTGGACATGATCATGATCAGGACTTCCGAGACGTTGAGTGCCCAATCTTGCGCGCCGACGTTGTCCAACACCACGTCGGGAAGCGGCCCGTATGCGTTTCTGTCCGGGACGCGCTCGTGCACCATCGCGAGGGAAGCCGTCGTCAGTATAAAGTTGACGACCATAAAGAGAAATGCTGAAAGCAACGATTCGTAATATGTTTTCTGTCATCTAGATAAAAATATTTAGATAATCATTTAAATGAAAATTGCTTCATTTTATATTTATCTAGATCATAATCAAAGTATAAATTATCTCTCTCCATCTTTATCTTAGATAAAAAAGTGTTATTGTCTTCAAATTATTTAATATAAGGTCTAGCGAGTTTAGTCTATATCGATATAATTTTAATTGCAAGTAGCGAATATATGCACCAGATAGAAATCGTCTGACAAATAACGTATATAAAAAATTATTTTTTAATTATAAATGACAATATGAATATTGAATTGTTTTATATTACCAAAATGTTCTTAAATTATCTTATTTAACGTTATTTCGATAAAACGCTTTATAATTTCAACTCCATATTTAACATAGGTAGATTTAAAACCATCTTTATCTTATCTAATTGTAAAATATATTTATAAATATTTTATCTTATCTTCATTTAAAAATGAGTTCGGCAATACATGTCTCTTTGCGGCACCGTACTCTCTATTCGAATATAAACAAACATGCTATTTTTTGCGTACACTACTTCTCTTCCGCTCTGAGCATGCTTGAGAATAATTCTCTTATTAATTGACCCTGTCATGCAACGACGATCCGCGTCGTAACAGATCCTCGGTAACGGTACTTGTGAAATCCGTTTTGTGCATTTCGCGTGCGTCCAGCTGCTCGCTTCGATTAACTTTGATGCAAGAAGATCCGCCGAGATAAACGCCGCGCGGGCGCTCGGAAAAAGGGGATCGATCGGTGGGAGGCTCTCTACGAGATCAACCTGCGCGAGAGCGCTTGGTATTATAACTGAGCGAATATACCAGGTCATCTAACGACCTCGATCTCGATGGATCCCCGCGGCGAGCGAACGTCATGGAGTAGCGAACCTGGAGAGGCTCTCTAAGATATCGGCCAGAATTAGCCGACAAGTATTATCTTAGATAAGTCTGAGAGGATCCTCGTTCCGGGCTTATTGCTTAAGCCGCCGAGATAAATCCAGCCGCCGATGCATATCGTAAAACCGTGGAAACCGAGAAGTGAATCGATCGAGAGAACCGTTTCAGAGAGAGAACCGCGTTCTTGTCGAGTAGATTAGATAGAGCGTTTAGTACTTTATTTAACCAAGAACGTACATATTCTCGTATTTTTATTTAGAGACCGAAATACATTTCTGTTTATATCGAAATTGTGATACGAACAAAATCATCGAGGTTTATAATTGCGCCGAATTTATCTTTCATTAATTACTTATATATATTCTCTTTCTTTCTCATGTGTTTATTAAAATTTCAGTTCAAATTTTGATGTATTAAAACTACAGAGATAGATAGCATAAAATTAATCTTATAAATTAGTTATAATAAAAAGAAACAATTTGATATGATATTCTAAGCAAAGATATTCTAAGTAATTGATTTCTCATGCAAATATAATGAAATAACTAACTTTTCTAGGTCTTCTTTAAAAAAAAAAAAAAGAAAAAGAAAAAAAAATTAATTCGTTAAAAAATATTCAAATTGTAATACAAATAATGACTCTCTAAATTAAAATCAAATTAAATAAAAACTCGAAGAAAATGGCAATCAGCCTTGGCTCTGATTGCCATTTTCTTCGAGTTTTAATTTAAATTGACATGTAACTTTATTTTCCGATATATCTTTATTTCTCATCAATCGAATTCGCTTAATTAGTTTGTTTTTAAAAAAGATGATTTACTCGAAAGTTTGAAAAATATTATCAAAATTGCGATAGAATCTAATGAGAATTTATAATCTTTAATGAACATTCGCGTTGATTATACGGCTAAATTCTTCATATATCTTTTTTTTTTTTAAGATAATGATATCTAATTCTTTTCGTTCTTAGGGAAGGAGGGTTGTTATTTCTTTTTATAAAAAAAGCTGCTCTTGCTCTCTTACCGAGAAAGGTCTTCCACTTCTCCTTGGGGAAGCGCGGCTCCTCGCGAAGCGGTGCCGGTATGTCGATTTTAACGATACCGCTGCCGGAACCGTTCGGTATACCAGGATGCCTACCCAGGCTCTCGATATCCTTCTCGTCCTCGTCATCCTCATAGTAGTCCGAACCTGAGGCCCCCGAGGACCATTTGTCCTTGCTCTTGGACAGCGGCGCGCCGGGCAACAGCGGTTGCCGTTGATAAACGTCGCTGGACTGTGTCATCCCGCTGCTGCTTCCATCAACCGTCGCTTCGACGTCCCTCTCGTGGCCCTCCCCGGCGCCCAACGGTCGATCGAAGCTTCCGTAATCGTTATGCAAACTGGTGGCCTTGGGATCCAATACCATCCTACACAGAGAAGAGAAGTCGAGCTGTCCTAATCGAAGGACTTGATTTGCACCTTATATTCTAGGACGTGTCATCGCGAAAAATCGTTTCGCTGACATCATCGGCAACGAAATAGCGAATCGAGAAGCTGATCTTGGCACGTGCTGCTTTATCGCGTGGAAGGATGATCAAACTATAATATTATTGAATGCAAATTCACGGGATCAAAGAAACTGCTTTTGAAATCGCATTTAAAACAAGTGTCTCGTCTAACAACGGTATCGGTTCCATCGTTTCTCACACATCTTCACATTATTAATACTTCATTGATGTAATCTCTTATCGGATCATGATGCAATTGAAAAAATTTCAAGAAATATATGAAAAATTATCATATTTTCTTTTTAATTCTCATTTAATTGAATACCTCGTTTCTCTTCTTGTTACACGAGAATCTAAGTTTATTTCTAATATAATTGACTAAATGCTGATCAAGACTTGTTGAATTGTCGCATCGATACAGTTAATATTACACGTGACATAGTTCTGCGAACGGTGCACATTTATCCAGAGAGCGTCCATCCGCGTATCACGTCCCGTAACGCACGATATTTTTAGACATTTATCGCCGTATAAAGGGAAAAGGTTATCGCGAGTGGAAAGGGAACGCGCGGATTCTAAATCCGTGCCGAGACCGAAACTGATCGGCGACCGTCTATCCACGGACAGAGACGAAAATGAATCTGCGTGATGCGAAACAGCGTGGACATGTTAACCGGAAGCGGATGCGGTGCGCCGGTATTTACCGGAAATGCGGGCTTACGTAGAAAGTGACAATTAGACACAAATATATGTATGTATATAAAAAAGTTCTTCGACCGAAGCAATCAGTTGTGCTCGGGTAAACAAAAATTTGTATTCTCTTACGTAGCACTTTTCTTATGACACGGCGCTCGCCGGACTTTCATCTACGAATAAAAAAATTTTCGAGCGCGACGCGAAAAATTTTTGTATTCACTTACGTAGCATTTTTAGCATGACACCCGTCTGTCTCTTCTCTTTTATCTATATCTCGGTTTTTTTTTGCAGCAACGACGAACGGATTCTCGATCGTCAGATACGATCGGACACATTTTAAATAGGAATGCGTACCGCGCTTATAAGATATAACGACGATTTCGATCTGCGAGCGAGCAACTATATTCCGCGCCTATCGGGATGATGTATCCACCTGCGACATGAATATTTAATCATCAAAGACTGCGGTTAACCTGATACGTGATTTCGTGGGAAAGACGACGGCTGCACCTCCGCTTGGTAATTCTAACGTTAAGCGTTAAGGTTAAACATCGTTCGCGTTTATTGAACGAATTACGGCTCGACGATGCAGAAAAGTGGTAGTTTGCGCTCATTGTAGTCCGTTGAGCGTCGAGAACGCTCGCGCCAAGTGATCCGTGTTACAGTACACAATTGCACGACGGCGACAAACGAGGAGTAGAAATGACGGGATATGAACTAAAAAAATGTCTCGAAAAGTCATGAAAAATGTAACGCGATCTCCTACGTCCCAAATCTTAGTGCAATCAGAAAAAGAATAGTTCCTCACGTGCAAAAATAAATTTAAAAATATAGAATATAATTTTATTCATGTATAATTATATTCATAAATATAATTTATAAGAATCTTTATTTTCGAGAAAATTTACTTTGAAAATTGCATAATCTCTAACGATTTTGTCGTCATATTACTTTTACAATCACTATTGATACATAAATAAAAAAGTATAATATTTCATTTAATAAAACAAATTAAAATAATCTAAATTATATTTTGAAAAAATTATATGTAAAAAATCAAGATTATCTATCTTTATTTTTTTCAATAAAATAGTATACATATTTTGATAGCTACTGTTGAGATGAATTCGCTAATATGCACAATATAATATTATATATATATATATATATATATATATATATATATATATATATATATCAAAAATTATATATCAAAAATAAAGTCTCGTATAAATGTAAAAACAAAAAAATTCTATTTTACATTTTTGATTTTCAGAAGAAATTATTTTTTTACTGACTGTAATATGATTTCAACGCAGTCTATATACAGTCTCTTTTAGAAAAAAAAAGTGGTCTTTTACTTAACTCCCGTATATCACTAACAATAAGAATGAATTTTAAAAAGAATTTTAATTTGCAGCTCAATTATAGAGATATCGAAATCTAAAACCGCAATAAACGACGATTTTTTGCCGAGGAAAAATCGAATCTAAATTGGTTCAAATTGGAATTTTTCATCTGCCAAAAGTACTGCGGCAGAAATAGGACACCTAACAACATGATCCTCTTTATGGCTGGGTAAAAAAGGTGCGAGTTTCTAGGACGAGACTCACTCAGCGCGGCCGGAAGACCTTTCGTCGGAAAACGAATTCCCAAGGCGGATATTGCTTTTATGAGGTCAAAAGGCGGGATCGTCGGAATGCGACTCCTCGATCAATGCCGATAAACCATAATACCTTTTTCGCCCCGATAACGACCCTTCTGACCTTTTTGAACAGCGACAATTCTCGTACAGAAAGCAAATCGATCCTCTCGAAATTGTGACGATTAATTTAAATAATTATGTCATATAGTTTTCGTATCGTGGATCGTGACTTGGCTTCTATGAATTAAGAGCGAGAAGAATGATACAAGAGGCGATGCTGACGCAGGAACTGCTCGTCAAAAAGAGCAGTCGAATGATTAACCCTTGTTTACGCGCGTAATAAAGGGCTCCCTTGGATAACCTTTTAGGGAGCCGGGCGACAGAGTACAGTACCGGAAATAAGACACAATAAGACAATTCTGATTGCGTCAATTGATCGTGATTAAAAATCCTTTGTCCACGAAATATCGTGCAAGATTTCAGATCTTCAAAATTGGGGAATTTGTCGTGACTGGAATCATTTTTCACCGAAAATAAGAAAATGTATTGTGTAAGCAGCTTTATATCCTTTAATTATTTTCAAGTAAATTTAATCTCGACATCACTTCATTCGCAGTCACATAATAAATTTAAAAAGACTAGTAGATATGTAGAGGTGCTTAGAACGCTACAGTTCATTTGCATAACGATGCGGGTTGTTGTGGAAATAATGCTATGCAGAACAATCTACAAGTCCCACTTTACCGCGCAGCATTTATGTGTGTGTGTGTGTGTGTGTGTGTGTGTGTGTGTGTGTGTGTGCGTGTGTGTCGCCCCTGCTTTATTCTAATAATTCACAAAGCTCATTAGCACCATTTCATCACACACATATCTGAACCGAGAACTTGTGTCAAGTTTCTACATGAGGAAGTCGAAAGTTAGATTCCCGAGAGTTATAATCATCAACAAAATATGTGATATCGTGTGAAGCAATATCGACTTCACACTTGATTTCAAATCGTTCTTAAATTTTCCAAACATTTGGAAAAAGACTCGAATAACCGTTTTTCCTATATCTCATTTTCCTTCAACCGTTAAATTCCGTTTAATTGTATAATCGTGCGATATATTGTACATAGAAAACTTATAATACCGGCTCTTAAAAGCGGATTATTTACTTATTCATTTAGAGACACACACGTTCGTTTCTCTAAAGCCTTTACATATGTAAAAAAGACAATAGAGAGTACTTTCGTAGCAGGTGGACGTATTCACACAACTAACATTCGAGAAACGTACGATGCTGTCTACTAAATGTATTAGCGCAAGTTTGCAACAAAACTTTGCGATAGCCAGGCAGTTATCATAACTATTATGCGATACTCACAATGCCAAATTGCAACATGCTACCCAATTGTTCGCAATTTATATCGCGGATCGATAAGCGAGCTTTTCCGACGCAAAACACGCCGGTCTGTCGATATAAATGTCCAGCAACCATCGAGATTTATAGGTAATTCTATATTTGTACGATTACGCGAGAACTTTATTTATCTCGAAAAACGTTCGCGTAAATTCCACGAAAGAATTCGCGTATTACTTAGCGCTCATTACAAATATACGAATTGATGATTGATGCCATGTATTGCGTACCGATAATAGCCCAAGGACGCTACGGTACTTTAAATAAAAATCACTTGTGTGTCTAAAAAAAAAAAAAAAAAAATATTCGAAAGATGACACGAGCGCGTGAAATAAAAAGAAATATTTACAAAAATTAATTAGTTTTATATAAGGGAAAATTCTTTTACTTTTTCTACTAAAAATTTAAAAGATACGTTCCCGTGGAATCCTGACCTTCAAACTTTATCGATCACATTGTATACGATGTCTGCGGATAACATAAAATAAAAATACACCGATTGATCAAAGAGCGAAATGCGATATATTACCCAATTAATTAATAAACATACGCGAAATGTGGTCTATTAATTTTACGAGGTGACAAAAGTGATTTACGATCCGAGAATCGAATTCGTTATCTCGCAACAATCAATCAATCATTCGGAGCTCGCGATTTACATAATTATGACTGACGTAACGATATTTGTTTCCGATCTCGATGCGCTCATCTTCAATCTTCGCGTAAAAGCGATCACCGACGCAATCTATGATTTCCAAATCCGGTTCTGACCACGAATATATATCGCGCGCACCATTAATTTAATGTTCTTAAATTAAATTAAACTACCCCAAATTACTATCCCATCGCGAGTCGCCAACTGTGCAATATATAATTTCGCGGAACTGCACAATCTTTTCGTTGCGTAAAATGGAAAATTGCATCTGATTGCAAGTTCTCGAGAGGCTCTACAAAATGCTGGAAATTCTTTTTCGCAAACTTTGCTGCGCACAACAGCTATACGTTTACGTAAGAAAAATCCGCTTGTTTACACAATAAAAACGTCAAAACTGATTTGAGGTAGATTATTGTTGCGAAATAACTTTATTGATGAAACCTAACGTCGGCTAAATCGGCTTACGTAATACGTTATGCGTAATACGTCGTACTTCGATACAAGGGAATATTAACTTATTT